TGCGTCAAAACTTCAGTCGAAGGAGAGGCGAAAGGCAAGATGGAAGCGGGATTTGACGTGAGCGGTTCGTAAGAATAAGCCGTTAAGCAGAACAAGGAGAAAATCTTCATCAACAAAAGGGAGCAGTACGAGGTAACGAAGGTTCATGGGAGCCAGGCTATGCACCAAGCCTACAAGATGAGAACTCAGGGGCGGAGTGAAGACGACTTCCATGAAAGAGAAGTTGGTGAGTGACTGGGGGATTCGAGAGGTGTGATACTTGTGTGATCGTCGAGAGTGATGCAGTGTGATGAGAGAAGATGCGTGAACTTGGGCATAGTAATTCTCCAAATATTGAGGGAAAGAGCACCTGTGCCTGGATGGCAGGAAGCAAGAAATTGGAAACCAATCTACCATTGTTGTCTTTGATATATTCATCATTATATTCCAGACGATATTCCAGATGAACTTTGCCCCATCTTTCAGGCTGGACACTTGACTTGGTAAGCGAACCTCCTTTATAGATGCAATGCGCACCTCAATGCAGGCATTGTGACCTCGAACTATTGAGAAGTATGTAATACTCATAGAGGAGTACATGTATGGTCCCTAAGATGACATTTCAATGGTGTATCATATGTCCTATACTCATAGAATCAGAAGTAGTGTTCACTGGCACTGGCCCTGGTCTCTATAAGAGAATGTTTCCCATACCTTGCTCCCACAGCCTTTACTAGAAGCTGATCGTCTCATTTTTTCCTCGTTTTATGCTCGAAGTTGCTACCTCCCGTAGCTATTGCTGGGGATAATGATATGTAGGACTCACTACCACGAACGTTGTGAAACCTGCTGATTAGCATTAAGAGTACAACCAGGCGATCGAATGAAGCTTGAATCTTCTATGGATTGGGGATCTACGGCCACTTGGCTGAAGGTGTGATTTTTTCGAGCGCTGCTTTGCTTTGTCAAACAGATGGTGTGAATCTCATTAGAGACGTTCAACTTGAAATAATCTCGGGGAAACTATATCTCAGACAGTGCAAGGTGTGAGAGCCTCATTCATCTCTCCATACCACACGTATAGCGAGTTTCATAATCCTACACCAATATTTTGCGTCTTCAAGGTGGGCTGTTGGATGATGATCAAATATCAAGCCTGGACGTTGGTGTTGTTGGTTCCTGGTCGTCCATGGCGCACAGACCACCCGGCAGATCCACCTTCCCGGCCACGGCTTCCTCCGTGTCTTCTCAGGGTTCCACGTTGCTTGAAAGGCCCCCACATCAATTAAGTGGTCAAGGGGAACACATCGCAGTTGCCCGTTAGTTGGCATCAATCATCAACGACAACCTCCCTCCGAACGAACGAACGAAACCGCCAAGATGGACCCCTACTCTGCCGAAGGCGAATTGATCAACGTCCACAACTATTTCCACCAAGGCCAGTACCAGGAGGTCATTGATTACGATACTTCTGCCCTTTCCTCCGAGAATGAGCTTCCCGCCCGCGTTCTAGTCCTGCGAGCCCGCATCGCCCTTGGTCAAGCCGAAGATGTCATCGCCGAGGTGCAGGGAGAGAAGGAGCCTGAACTGGTCGCCCTTGGAGCGCTCGCTGAGAGCGCACTTGGCAAGACGGATTCTGCCGTGAAGACCATCGAGAAGCTCGCCGCATCCGAGGGGGAGAACGCTACAGTCCAGATTGTTGGAGGTACAATCCTGCAGGCTGCGGGCAAGTCAGAGGAAGCTCTTGCCTTGCTTTCACAGCACCAGGGAAGCTGTGCGTTTGACTCCCATTAGTTGAAGGAATTGGCGCTGACCCGGGACTCGCAGTGGACGCTGTTGCCCTGATTGTTCAGATCCACCTCCAACAGAACCGTAACGACCTCGCCCTCAAGGAGGTTACCGCCGCGAGACGATGGGCACAGGATAGTTTACTGGTCAACTTGGCCGAGTCATGGGTTGGTCTGAGACAGGTACGATAACTACACCACGAATGAAAGAACGAGACTAAGAAAGTACAGGGCGGAGACAAGTATCAGCAGGCTTTCTACGTGTTCGAGGAGCTTGCGCAGGCGCCGGCAACGTCGTCCATTGCAACTCTTGTCTCTCAGGCCGTTGCTGAGCTGCACCTTGGACGCACAGAGGAGGCACAGGCAGCGTTGGACCAGGCTCTGGCCAAGGACGCAGGCTATGCCGAAGCCATTGCCAACCTTCTGGTGTTGACGGTGATTTCGGGCCAAGATCCCAAGGAGTTCACGGAGTAAGTTCCGATGCACGACCAAGGCGTCGAGTCGACCTGCTAACCACGTGGACACAGAAAATTGAAGGCGGCGGACCCCCAGCACCAGTTCCTTGTGGACCTGGAGGAGAAGAGTGCGCTATTCGACAAGGCGGCGACTAAGTACAGCCCCAAGGTGTCTGCATAAGGTAGACAGCGGGGCGGTGTGTACTGCTGATGAGGCATAATGTTAGGCGTACGGTTTAGAGGAACTCAATGGAGATACAACGGCTCGGAAAAGCGCAACGAGACCACTCGAATTACTACTTTCCACTTGAAGATACCCATCCGTTCGCCCTCGCTTGATCCGAAAGTCGGTTCCTTCTTTGCCAGATGCGCGCGACCCGCCAGTGATCGGCAGGGCTCGAAGGGTCTATGGTTTCGCCGAGACCGTCTGGCCAGCTGTTTGTTTCGGGCATGCATGAACAACCCCCCGGGTCATGATAGGACGGGACTGGACTGAGAGGGCCGGTTGACCGAAGCCGCCCGAGGTGACGGATCGGTGGCTTTACACATCGGCAGATTGACATCATGGCTTCCCATTCTTGATTAGCACCAAGCGCCAACTGGACGGCCGGGGCCCCATGCGCCTGACTCAGGGCTTTCTCCCAACTTTCAAAGTCAAAGAAGTACAAAAATCACAGGCAAGCAATTGCTATTAGGGCTTACTGCCAGGATAGTCCAGTGGAACTTGCGCTTTGAACAGTTCTGGCTGACGGAGCAGACTTTCCGGCAAGGATTGAGTTTGAGTAAGGTGTGATGAGCAGGACATCCGAAAAAAAAAAAAACGAAAAAAAAAGTTGCCACTATCTTTCGCATCGCACAGCATCGAATTTTGTCTCGCTTGTCTCGCCGGTCTAGCATTGTGGATCGAAGCCGGACGTGGAGGGGTAAAGTAAAGTGAGCACTCAGGGTCTTGCACGGACGCGCGGGGCTCAGAGAAGGTCGAGTTTACAGATTGCGCGATGCATACTACGTATGCTCAGTCACTACATCTCATTTCTGCAGACACATGCAAAGAGCGCCTTCAACGTCATCGGTTGCTGTAGGTTGAAGATATCAGCCGTAATCTACCGGTCAAGGTCTGCTACCTTATGACGGCTCGCAAGGGGTTTGACGCCGTCGATAAGGACTCTTTGTGAAGGATTGCAGGTTCCTACTGGTCTGGCTCACCTTGGTATGTACAGCACAGGCCTCATTGTGTTCACCGCCAAAACGGACATGGGCCTTGATCGGCTAGAACATGCTCCTCGCACAACTGCATGGCGAGGACTCGTCGAGGCCTCAGTCAACCGGAAACCAGACGAATGAGCAGACCGGGCCGCTACAGATGGGATGGATTCATTGGAGCGAACATGGAGGGCACGTCCAGGTTCCGAGCATGGAGACTGGAGAAGGATGGAGGCTCCGCTCGTTTGCCCCAGCATCGCCGACCTCGATTGTTTCGATCTCGTCCTCAAGGCTCAAGGCTCAAGCCCCTTTCACAATGCATATGCACGTCTCCACGGGCCTTGGGCTAGACGACCTGGAGTGTAGCAGCAACTTAGTAACGACTCGGGGGCCAAACGACCAAGGCACGTACACCGTGGCCAAGCTTGCCTGCATCGCGTCGCATCGCGTTACGACAAAAAGTCACTTGGCTAGCGCATCTCGTTGAAGGTTAAGCGCAGTTAAACTGCATGTCGGACGCGGACCAGGGCATATTAGAGCCCTTTTGGTGCTCTTCTCAGCAACTACGGAGTAAGGTACTTTACGCCTCAAGCAACGCGATAGAGAGCCCCACTGAGGGACGGAATGACATCACCGTGCAGGTAGCTCGAATTTGACCATTTTCCCATCAATTCCTCATGTTGATTCCCCCATCCGCCAACCAAATGCCACATGCCTCTGCTGTTGGCAAAGAAACGACTGTGGACTTGTCACCATGTATCCTTGCACGCATCATGGAACGACGCAATGCCGTCTACCGCACCCTCAATGCAGCACCTTCATCCTCTCTGGCATCTTCATGTCCCAACTTTCCTTACGTTTTCTGCTTTGCTTGGATCAGCTCGGCGCAGTGAATGTGGGGACGACGGGCTTTAGACTCCGCTCTCGGTGGCATATTTCCCATTTCCCCCATGTCTACTTATGTACTGATGCGGCCAGGCTTTCGACCGTGGTTCGGGGGGAGGGGGGGGGGCTGGAATGTTCTGTTTGGTGGCACCTTTCTCTGTTGATTTTATCTTTTTTCCCACACTCTCTCACTTTTCGGATGGATGTATCATGTCGCCTCCCGATCCGTCCCCCCCTGCTCAAGTGAACTGATGGGGCACGCTTCGCTGACCGAAGCATCGGATTCTGCAGCCATTCTCGGCCATTCTGGTGGCTGTCTCGAACAGTCGGAAACAGTTTTGTCTGTTCACTTTGTTCTTAACCTTTCCGAATGTCGGCTTTGGGAGGGCTGAATGCCAATAAGGTGCGAACCAAGGACTGCCATTCCACTGGACTCGTTCCGGGCTCGTTGGAGAAATCTTTCTCCTGGCGATCATCAGAGGCTCTGCTAGACTCTGAGACCTGGTTGGAGCCCCCAAGTGGCTGTCTGCCACATCGCCCACAGCCATTTGTCAGATTGCACAGCCGGCCGCCTTCCGTTCCGCGTGCGAGGGTGTGGGAGCGTGGCAATAGGTACAGCCAACCCATCCCGCAATTCTGAAAAAAAAAAGCCCAAGAGTCAGAGAGAAAGGGGGGTAAAGGAAATAGCCAGTCATACTCCATACACTGCTCGAATCTGGCCCTGCTCCTCGTTCGCGCTAGAACGTCCCAAGTGGGCATAGTTCGGAAAAGCCAGATGCCTTTGCCCTTTGGGGCCCTGTGAGACGCCGTCATCGTATGTGGTGTCCATTGGCGACTGGCAGTCTGCGGTGCGCCCGTTGACGCCGTCCGAGTCGGCGTCTCGGCCGCTTGCCATTGTGCAGTAGCATCCCGGAAGCGGCTTTTGAGAATCCCAACGAGAGCGGAGTCCTTCTCGCTCAAAGGCTGGCTGGCCTTGGCTAGGGTTCTTCTTGTTCGGCCATGATCCATGACCCCCTCGTTCTGGTATACCTAGTTTCTCTTTCGTGAAAGCCCTTTGCTCATGCAGGTTGGCGCGCCCTGACGCCCCGTATTTGGCGGAGGACTCGGGGGAGGGACGGGGGTAGCGGGGAGGGGTGTGAAGAAGAAGCCAACTACCTTTCGGAATTCAGGCCGTCATCGTGAAGAGGATACTTTGGCTGGCCGGCTGGCTTTGCGCCTTTTTCCCCTTTCTTTGCCGTTACCGGTTCGGTCGAGAGTTCGGCAGTATCGCATGTGGGCATTGCATTGACTTCTATTAAAGCTGGACACCTCCCGTTGAAACTTGGTCGTGACAACTTTAATTCCCAACTACCCAACCTCTTTTGCGTATCTAATCGAGACTATAAGTATCTCTTTCAGTGCCAGTAAAAGCCCACATCTTGATACAACCAAAGTATACACAATCTTCCAATCGCCACAATGCCTATCGCCATCTCTCCCTCAACAGTCAAGGCCGCCGCCGAGTCTGGCCTGCCTGCTTCGCAAAACAAGAAGCGCAAGATCATCTGCTTCTCAGGTAAGATCACCTCCGTTCACCCCTGGATCTCGCCACTTGCTGACAACGAATCCTCCAGACTTTGACGGAACAATCTTCATGCAGGACACCGGCCATATCCTCTTCGACGCCCACGGCTGCGGCTCCGAGCAGCGCGAGATCCTCGACGAGCAAATCAAGTCCGGCGAGCGCTCCTTCCGCGATGTATCCGAGGAGATGTGGGGATCCCTCAACGTCCCCTTTGACGACGGCTTCGAGGTGATGGAGAAGAAGCTCGAGATCGACCCGGCCTTCCAGGAGTTCCACAAGTACTGCATCGCCAACGAGATCCCCTTCAACGTCATCTCCGCCGGCCTCAAGCCCATCCTCCGCCGCGTCCTCGACACATTCCTCGGCGAGGACGCCTCGGCGCACATTGACATCGTTGCCAACGAGGCCGAGATCACCGACGACGGCTCTGCCTGGAAGCCCATCTGGCGCCACGACAACGAGCTCGGCCATGACAAGGCGCTCTCCATGGGCGAGGCCCGCGAGCAGGCCGAGATGGCGTGCGAGGACGGCACCATCCCCCTCATCGTCTTCATCGGTGACGGCGTCTCCGATCTGCCTGCCGCGCGCCAGGCCGACGTGCTGTTTGCGCGCCGCGGCCTGCGTCTAGAGGAGTACTGCGTCGAGAACTCCATTGCCTACATCCCCTTTGACACCTTTGCCGATATCCAGACCGAGATCCAGCGCATTCGCGACGAGGACGACAAGAAGACGGGCGGAAAGGGTATGCCCGCCGCATTCAACCCGCGCGCCAACATGTGGAGACGCATGTCGAGCAAGTCGGCGATCCCCAAGCTCGTCGCCATCACGCCTGCCGAGGAGAAGATGTTCCTGTGGCCCGAGGTGTTCAGCGTTGCCACGCCCAGTATCGAGAAGGCCAACATTGCTCCCGTCTTTGCTTAGGCGTCGTGTCAGACTCGATTGTCTTCCCTTTGTTTTATCGTCAAGTCTTTTTGTATTTGAAGACGACCTGGTGCATAGCGTGCGAATTTGCTTTGAGAGATAATGATTTGGATACTCTGGCGTTGGCTCGGGTTATAGGGTTTTGTTTGGATTAGAGATGTGGCGATGTAAAGAGAGGTCGATAAACTATCTTCCATATCGTTAGATATAGATACAGATACAGATCAAGGATACAATGTCTTGCCACTTCAACTTATTGCCCCTGTCACGAATGATTGCCTTGGTATATGATGAAATCGATTCTAAGAAGTTGCTTACGACTTGTTACACTCAGTGTATCACATAGGAATTATCCAACAAAACAGAGCCTAATAAAAGGGGCTCCGAAGCGGGCGGAAGGGCGACTGGAACAGAGCAACTTTGTCTTTGAGGGGTATATCGAGACGAGTTCCCACATGGAGGGGAATATATTCACATATCAACATCGTGACACGCCCAAACTGTGTCCCAAAGACTTCTTGAATTCAACTCAAGCCTCATCCAGAGAGGCTTTCTTCCTCTGTATTTCTCGTGTCCCTGGTTCCCCTGACCAGCCAAAGCAAAACACTAGGGTATAAACGTACTACAATAACCGTTCCCCTACGACTGTCCAGTCCAGTCCAGTCCAGTCCCGTCCCGTTCATCCATTTGGCCGAAGGGAACGACACCAATCGTCATCATCCATTTCGTTTCCCATCTCTATGCCGTTTCTCAAGTCCTTGACTACCAAGCCAGACCAACTTTGCCCTCCGACCTTGCTTAAAACAATAATACATACACACACACTTCCCCAATTAACACCATTACAATGCCTTTCCCAGATGCAGAAACTTTTTTTCGAAACAAGAAACCAGCAGAGAGCACTCGTGACCCCGACTCATGACAAAAGGGGTACTGTAGAACCCGAAAGAGAAAATATGTACAGCTGAACGGGAAATGGAATAAGAAACAATATGCAAACACTGAGGTGACCCAACGAAGCGACCAAGATCAAGCATACCCCTTGGCAGGATCCAAGACGCTCACGCCCTGACTCGAGAACGTAGCGTGCCCAAACGTAGTCTCGGGATCCTGATCGACGACGCCCCACGCGACGTTGCTATACGCGGCGCCCACGTCGCTCGGCGGGCGGTGACACCGCGAGGTAATCACGGCGGAACACCCGCCGCCCTGCAGCACGAGCGGGTTGCCCGCCTTCTCCCCGTCGACGCTCGTGGGCGACGGGTCCGCGCGCCGGAGACCGAGGCCCAGCACCAGCGCCGCGACGACGACCAGCAGCGCCAGCAACGCGAGCAGGCCCACGCCGCTGAAGCCGACGCCGTTGATGGGCATGGGGAAGTTGTCGTCGCGGGTGGCGGGTCGCATGTCGACGGACACCATGGGCACGGCGTTACTCACGACGAGGCCGAGCGCCGCGAATAAGGCGAGGAGGAGCCAGGATAGGGGGCGGGGCAGGGTGAGGTAGAGGCTTGTCGTCTGGGTGCCGCGGGGCCGGCCTGAGCTGACGCGGAGCGGGAGGGAGATGCCCGGGAGGGCGTACTGGCTCAGCTCGTGGGAGAGGTAGTAGGAGGAGAGGAGGGCGTTTGTGGAGAGGTAGAGGGCGGCGAGGAGGAGGTGGGGGAGGGCGGCGACGATGGCTACTCCGGCGCGGGCGCCGCCGTTGGGGAGGGGGTAGAGCTCGTGGGGGCGGGCGCTGCCGAAGGCGCCGAGGGAGGAGGACGGGTCTTTGCCGAGGGAGACGGCGAGGGCGGCGGCGGCGAGGGCGGCTGGCGTGGCCCAGGTGATGAGCCAAAAGGTCCAGAGGGTCAAACCGGGTGTCTGGAACCAGAAGTGGTCGCGCGAGGTCCAGTACTTGGCCTCGCGGTAGCCCCAGCGGCCCTGTTTGACGTCCGTCTTGTCGAGGAGGCAGATGCCGCGGGTGGTGTGGTCGGGCTGGGAGATGAAGGAGGCGAGGGCGTCGCCGAGGGTGACGAGGGGCTCGAAGCCGGTGAAGAAGTAGACGGCGCCGATGGCGGAGACGGAGACGAGGTTGAGGATGGCGATGACGCCGAGGAGGGAGCCGTTGAGGACGACGGTGCAGGGGTTGCGGTCCTCGGGGCGGGCGAGGCAGTAATCGACCGAAGAGCTGTTGATCTTGATCTGCGTGGGGTTGGACGGGTTGACGATGAAGGGGGCGAGGGAGGATCCGGACTTTTGGGTCTGGACGAGGGCGTTGCTGGGAGCGATGACATCCGTGACGAGGACGACGGCTGTGAAGTCGCTTTGGTAGACGCCGCCGAATTGACTTGCGCACTCAGCGTTTGTGAAGTTGGTGAGCTGCTTTCGGGACGCTAGGTCTTGGAGGTCGAGAATATCGCCTCTGGAGAGACCGCCGGCGTTCGTTTCTGAGGCGTTGCTAAACTGGCCCGAGGCAAGGAACTCTTGTGTGACAAAGACGACCTGGTGGGCGTAGCCAGGTTGTGTCGAAAAGATTACGGCATTATAACTAGTGAGAAAGTCAACGCCTGTCAGATCTGATGAAGGGAAGCATGCTTTCAGCAGTAACAGCAGCAGCGCGCGCATACATTACTTGGGTACTGACGGCCGCCAGCATAATGATGGCCGTCATGACAACCCGCGGTTTCGAGACGAAACGCAGGTTTCTAAAAGAAGGGATCCCGAGGTCGAGCCACCGCCTCCCGTCGTGCGCCATCTCAATCTCGATGCGCGTGGGACTGCTCAGGACCTGGAAGACGTAGTTGGCCGCCGACAGCAGCACAATGGTGATGACGTTGATGGCGACAAAGAGGCCAATCTTGAGCTGTTCGGCCGTCGCGCAGGAGCCCTTGAAGATGATGCTCTCGCCCCTGATCATGCCGACGACGACGAGCGCGAGGACGAGGCACACGATGGCGACGATGAGGATGGCGAAGCCGATGATGATGTTCAACGCGATGCCGGCCCTCCAGCCCGACTTCATCCTGCTTAAGGTCCCTCCGCCTCCGCGCTTCTCGTCCGCCGGCGGCAGCATCCGTTCGAGATCCCCAATCTCGTTCTCGCCTGTCGACGGTCGATCCGTGGTCGCCTCGTCGTAAAATCCTTGCGCGGCCGCGTGATTCGCCGCGGCGGCCTGTGCCTCCAATGTGTCTGGGCTCTCCGTCTGCCTCTTGCGTTCCTCTCTCCGCTGCGCCATGGTCTCGGGCGTCTCTCCCCTGATGTAGTTGATGATGTAATCCGGGACGATATTTTCCAGAATTGTAGCCGTCGAGTTGCGCTTTCCCGGCGCCCACGTCGCTCTTCGTGTCGGTTCTTTTGGTTCTTTTGGTGGAAAACTTTGCGGGTCCGGGAAGCTCCCCGTGAAGCCAGTAAAAGGCCTCGACGAGGCGACATCG